ACTCTGCTGCCCATCAATGCCCAAGGCCCACCCCTTCCGGCCTCACCGTAAACATCCTGCAGGAACTGGGCACGCTGGGAGGTGCCACGGGGGGCGGGGCTTGGGCTGTCAGGCCCCGCCCCCATACACGTGTGCAGGGGGGAAACAGGGGAGACCCGGGGTCCAGTTCCCCCAGTACAGGGGATTCCAGGGGCCCAGTCCCTTCCAGTACCGGGGAGACCCAGGACAGGGGAGTGCCAGGGCCCAGTCCCCCCAGTGCAGGGGGAAGCAGAGGCCCTCCAGGAGGGGTGGGGGCTGCCCCCACCAAGCTGAGACCCAGGGAGGCGGCAGGACAGAGACCCCCGTGGAAAGCCTTTATTGCCGTGTTACAGCACAACCCCCGCCCTGGGCGCTGCTCCGCACTGGCACCGGCACTGGCCCGGCGGGCGGGCGACTCACCCCCACGGGCGGGCGAGCCCCGGCCCAGCGCCCCCATTTCTTCTCCTCCTCTTTTTTGTCCTTGCTCTCCTTGGAGGCCTGCGAGGCCAGTGAGCCCATGGCGTTGCGGATGGCCTCGTTGTTGGGGTCCACGCCTGGCAGGTTCTCCAGCACGCTCTGCAGGAACTCGGGGTCCTGCATCACATCATAGTCGTCTTCCTCCTGCAGGAACAGGGAGAGGAGTTGGGGACAGGCTGGAACCCCATCTTCCTCCCACAGGCAGAGGGGACAGGGAGGGGACAGGAGGACAAAACCTCACCTTAGCAGGTTCGGAGGTATCCATGGCTGTGCTGCTGTCCACTTCGGCCGCCTCCGCCTGGGCAAACTCTGTTGGAGGAGAGGGACAGCTGAGGACAGAGGATTAACACACCCACGGGAGCGATGCATGCACCCACCCCTCCAGTTTGGGGAGATCTGGACCCTGCCCAGGTGACAAACCCCACTGTGGGGCACGTCGGGCTGTAGAGGCTGCGGGTTCCAGTCCCAGAGGCAGAGAGCTGCCTCCTTGGCTTTCCCTTTGGGAACAGGCCGAGAGCCGCTCGCAGGCACTTACCCGCTCCCTGCAGCGACATCTGCATGGCGTAGGCAATCTGCTCCTCCTCTGTCATGCTGCTGAGGTCGGGCAGCCCAGCCCGGCCAAACTCCTGCTGAGTTATCGTCATCTTCAGCAGAGCATCGTCCGAATCTGCGCAGACAAAACCCACACTCAGAAACCAGCAATGGAGCCACCCGCGATCCCCGACCCCTCGCACACACGCGGCCTCACTGGGGAAGGGGAGCAGAGCAGAGCTGCTCTCCATGGCGTTCAAGACAGAAGCAGGTCCACCTCTGTCTGGGAGTTTCAGGCGAAGCAGAGGTCGCTCCCCAGCACGCTGCAGTTAAACTGCCTCCCTCCAACATTCCGGGGCAGAAACGGCCTCTTGCCTTGCACCCCAACAGCTCTGGCAATGGCCGCGCTGCGCAGGATGCCACCATGAACAAGAGACGGGCAGCCTCACAGCAATGAATGCTGCCACAGGAGCCCACACGCTGGCCAGACACCCTCCCCGGGGACCGTCCTGCCTGTCCCTGCCTGCTTGGATCCCTGCCCAGCTCCTTACCATCCCCACCAGTGGCTGCGATCCCAGCCTCAGCCGCAGAGGCGGCCGCAGCCCTCCTGGCCTCCTCCTCTTGCCGCTGCCTCTGCTCCTCCATGGAGACACGCAGAGCCTGCGGAGACGGGGACAGGCTTGGAGCTGAGCAAGGCAGAGCTCAGACAGACAGAGCTCGACACCTGCAGCTGCCCTCCACCTCCCCCTCGCTCACCAGAGCCAGCTCCGGGTCCGCGCTGGGGTCCACGCCGAACTCGAAGTCACTGGCGCCGAGGCCCAGCATGGCACCTCCCTCCCCGGCCAGGATGGGGGAGCTGATGAGGGCATCAGCCAGGCTGGGCCCCGGCGGCACTGTCACCAGGTGGGAGCCGGTGCCATCCTTGCCATTTAAGGTGTTAATGAAGGCAGTCAGCTTGTCCGTGTTGGCTTCCTAGGGCCAAAGAGAAAGGCCGGGACTAGAGCTTCGCCTGGCACCTCAACTCTGCGAGAAGGACAGCCGGCTGCTTCACGCACCCAGTGTCTCTCCGCGCTATGTGGGAGCCAAGAGCTCCGCTGTTTCCATCAGGACGGAAAGCATTTAACGACACCTGCAGTGAAATGGGAGAGGTGTCTTCCCAAAGGGAAACGTTACTCTCCACATTAGCATTTTTACTGGGGCAGCTGCTGAGGCTCAGGGAACCGTTTGTATCCTCACGTGCCCGAGTAACGGCTCTGGGCTGGAAAGGATACAAAATCCTGGCTTGGATTTTATGCCAGAAACACGGCAGGAGTCTCACCTCTTCTCCAAAATTGATGATATCAACGTTGACTTTCTCTTTCTTAAGACGCTTTGCCAGTTTCACCAGCTGCAATGAGGAGACACCGCGGCATTAGCTTGGATTTCAGCTCTTACCCATGCTCAGCTCATCAGAGACCAGACAACAGCGCTCAGGATTCAATCCTGGAGGCACAGAACCCAAAATTGGCTTCCCAGTTTCAAGCCCTCCCAGCAGGAAAGCGCTGGGAGGTATTTCACCTCTCTGTGTGGGACAGGCACTACCGCACAGTGCCCGAGGTGGCCCAAGTGCGGGAGCTGTTCCTGCCAAAGCAAGTAACCATCCCCATCGATGGGGACAGCAAGCGCCTGGGACAGGCAGCATCTCCTCACGTTTCTGACCTGTTCTTTTAAAGAGACCCGGAACATCTGGATTAACTCCACTTGCGTTATTTTAAGTACCAATAGAACAGCATCTTCCAAAGGCTGAGAGCATTATTTCTGCTCAGGGACAGAGATTTCCTCACCCAGCTCCTCAGGCAAAAAGCCCAAAGTGGTTTAGGTCAGAGTTATGAGGCACGGGACATGGCACAAGCTCCCTCTGGAGCCACCTGAACCAGGGGAGGAAAGCAATCCTACACAAAACAGCGGGAGATCTGGATCTCTGTCCTGGGCTCAGGCCTGGCTGTGCCCAGGGATTCCATCTTCTCTCTCCCTCCCAAGAATCGCTCTGCTCAAGCGGCTCTGTCAAGCAGCCTCCTCGCGGGGGTATAAAGCCTTGCTTGCAATTCAGAGCAGGGAACAAACGATAAACCCGATTTATAGCTCAAAGCAGAGCACAAAGCTGACCCAACATTTTTTCCTTTGACTGGTCATTACTCACGTCTTTCTCATTATCTTCTACAGGGCTCCCAACGAAGGCGATGATTCGCATCTTGTGGTTCTTGCCTTGGCGATGTTTCAAAGCCAGCTGCAAGAGAGAATTCATATTGTACTTAAGGAACAATTCTCAGGACACAGGGGTGGCCAGCAGTCAGCACTGATACTTTTCCCATTACGCAGGAAAATTTAGGCTGTCAGGAGAGACTTTCCAGCAGCAAGTTTCATCAAACTGTCTACAAGCAGGCAGGTCTTGAGGGCCTCCTGTGAGCTGGCCGTTGTGACTCTGCTGGGAGCAGTTTGGTGGCAGAGAGACAGTCTGGGACAGAGCAAGGAAACAGGACAAAAGGGCGGCTACATCCTGGGGGACACGCCTCGGCCGGGGGCTGCTCTCCGCTGCGTGGGAAGGGCTGTGCAGCTCGGCTGGACCTCTGCACAGCAGCTGCCAGGTTCCTCCGAAGCAAACCAGGACCAGACTAGCAAACTTCTGAGCTTTTATATTTGATTTCATAAAGGAGGTTTCAGCTGCATTTTGCCAAGAGTGAGACTGAGGAAAAACTGAAATTACTTGCTTGGCATTGCTCAGCCGTAGAGGCGGGAAGAGAAAAAGTTTTCCCGCATCCGAGACATCTACAGGACAGGTAACTTAACAGGACGCGCTAAGGCAAAAGGAATTACACATAAAGTTGCAGACTCGCTCGTGAGGAACCGACAAGACCACTTACGTGAGCAACTCTGATCCCTGTGCAAAAGGTAATTTTCCCTTTGGGTTGCACCGTGTGTAGCTTTGAAAGGATCCGGCCTGTGTCTGGAGTGAGCGTGGTCAACACTTCACAGTTACTGCAACACAAACACATTTACACTGCTGACCTCTTCTTTGAGAATTTCTTTGCAAAACCCCTTATTGGCTATGGGAATAAGAAATGCCCTCCCGCCTGCCCTGCGCTAAGCCTGCGTCTGCTCCAAGAGCCTGCCAGCACTTGGCTCTGTGGGTCAGTGCCTACAGGGAGCAAGACTTTTAGCCTGGTTTCCTAAAAAAACCAGAAGTAATCTGTCTGAAGGCCTGTATGTGCCTCTGTCCCCTGCCCCAGCAACCTTGAGCCCGCTGGCCAATTTTAATTGACTCTGGCTAAGAGGGAGCTCACAGGGGCACTGAAATCCTGCAAGCTTCAGGAAAACGGAGGAATGACTCTCTTGGGGCTGTCCATAAGCTGCAGCGACAGCTCAGCCCCTATTTGCCACCTTTTGGGACAGAAGGCCAGAAAAGGATGGGTCTGGCAGAGAGCCCCTGAAAGAGAAAAGCCTCCATAACATAACCTGGCATTGCAGGAGTGAGCCCAACAAGCCAGAGACCAGAGAGGAACCAGGTTTTCTCACACCAGTCCTCCCAGAAGAACTGGTCTGGTTTCAGACTGTGCTATTGGTGCCCCATTTTACATCACTCCCCTCGTCCCTTGCCCCCACACTCTCTCACAGGTCCCCTCAGCCGCTCCTCAGTGTCACCCTGAGGCCAGTTCCCCCTCGGGATGTACTTGGCTAAGGTGATGAGCCCCACGTTGTTCTCAGGGTTACTGCGGGTTTTTGAGTGGCACACGATGTTGACAGCATCTTGCTGGGCTTGCAGGCGAGTGGGTAAGAAGTCTCCGTTCCTCATGTACTCGCTATTGTCAACGCTGAAATGCAGAGAGAAGGATGTCAGCTTGTGAAACAGTTGAGTTTTATCCCCAAAATGTGCTTTTTGGGACAGCACACCTAAGGTCACACAGCTACAGACACTCAGCAGGACATGGACGTTTCCCAGGGCAGAGACATGAGGCGTCTCTAAGTTTCCCTGAGTTTTCAGGTCAGATCTGACCTTTGGGGCACAGGACAAGTGCCGTCCCAGAGCTGTAAGCTCCCGCTCCTCACTGAAGAGTAAAAGAGGTGACTGCAGCCAGACACAACCTCAGATCCACATCTCCTCGATGCCTTCCTCCATCTCCACAACAAAACCAAAAAAAAGCCAAGAGACACTACTCCATGGTAAAGCACAAAGCTCTGTGCATATCACTGCTGTTGGGTTATCATCAGGACAAAATGCAGCTTTCCCAGGGCAGGGACGGCAGGCGCTTTCCAAACACGGCTCTGCGCCGCCAGCACGGTGCCCTCCTCAAAGCGACACTGGGACAAGCTGAACCCCCAAGCCCCACAGCCCGGCTTTAACACCCTACACCCGCGGTGGGTGCCGGGGCCTCCACAAAATGCACAGCACACGGGCAACAGTGCCCCGCAGTGTCTAACGGCAGCAGCCACATCTCAACATCGCTGTAATTAAACCCCTACCCTCCACTCCATCGGCTATTAAATATAGCACAGAGCAGGCAGAAAAAGCCCTCCTCTTACACCAGCCTTCAGGAGAGTGGCCCTAGGAAGGAGGACTAGATAAACAAATGCTTCAGAGTTTATTTTGTCCCCAAATTAAGACTTCCCTGAGAACTACTCCCAGAATTCCTTAGTTTTAACACCAGGGGAAAGGATTCTTCTGAAAAAAAGCCACCCGTGACCATTTCCCTGACTGTGACTCCTCCAGCCCACACCAAATACCCCATCACAAGCTGGGGAGCGAGGAGGCACCAGCGGCCAAACTCAGGCACAAAGACACGAAGCAACCTGGCTGAGGCTTTCCAAACTGCAGCTTACTATTCACAAAGCAATAGTGAATTCCTCCCGCTCTCCAGGACAATGCAAGGAGCTGAGACACATTTTAATGCCCTTAAACATGAGTAAGCAAAGAGCCACCCAGAGAAAACATCAAGGACTTAAATATACAGTCAGCAAGTCAGGCTACGGTAGTATCTTTATCCAAACAGCTATGGGAGTATGTAGAGAGCCAAGAAAACAACAGAACCCGGGCAGATTTAATGAATTTTCTCTATCATGACCCTCTTAAACATCAAAACCAAAAGATAACAGGACTGCAGCTGCTGTGATAATAATGACACATCAAAGTTCACCTCTGCTTCCAGCTCTGGCTTCATTTGGCACCCAGGGACAAAACCCTCTCACCTCAACACCGATGCTGAGCAACAGTAACAGAGGACTGCCCGAGCACCAACCCACCATGCCCCAGCAGTGCCAGGACAGGCCCCGAGTGGCCGACCCTCCTCGGGCCGCAGATACCCCCACCCAGTGCCCCTGCAGGGCTGGGGCTGCCCAGCTCGGGTCCATACCCTGGCTCTCCTCTGCCGGGACATGACCCCAGATTGTTGTGGCACCACCGCCTGGCACCACATCACACCAGAGCCTCATCGCAGCCGTCTGCCCCATCCCCTTCACCGGGGCCCTCTCTGCCCCACACTTTGGCAGCCTTCCCCTGCCCGTTAGTCCCTACAAGAGCAGCTTCCCCCTGCTCCTGCCTCCTCAACCCCCTCTGCTGGGCCAGGAGCCTGCCCAACCG